TGAATTTAATGCCAGCACTCTCAGATCCAGCCACCTCTGATAGCCACAAGCATGGTTTCTTATGATACAGAGAAGGCCATGTCCTTCCCAGTCTGAACTTAAACTTATCAGGAAGTCTATGTGTATTCTGCACCTTTTCTGTGCTATCTACTATGGCTGTCTCTTACTTAGTCACTGTGGGAGGGTGACACTGGAAACCCTGAGTTGGAATTGCTTTCTAGTTATTCTGTGGCTCAGTTTTAAACACTAAATATGTTCTGCAAATGGCACCTGATGAAACATTCTCTGGCAGTATGCACTGTGTTTCTTCTCCAACTCTAGCCTGCATGAAGAAGTCACTTTCTCTGTAAAACCTCATGCTATTCCTTTTCCCTTTCTTTCTTTTTTAAGTTTACAATAGCTCTCAGCTTTCTTGGGACTAATGCTGCTGCCCAGGTCCATAATTTCTCCATGATCTGCCAACCCTCCAGTCTTATCTTCTCTCCCTGGGTGTTGGCCTCATTTATAATCAGATAAGTCAATTTGCTAGAGCCTCTGCTGTCCTGTGCTGAGAGAAAACAAAATACAGAACTAGTTCAGAGTTGTCGGGTGGCTATGGCCAGGACCTGGAGTACAAAGGCAGAGTTAGTTGAGGGTCAATGTGTGGCACCATCTATTCTGCAGGGCTCATGTGGTTCATAGGTGGTTTAGCTCCATTTGATCAGAAGAAACTTATTTGGCCCAAAAAATTGAGACCAAAAAGCTTTTACAACTATGGCAACTCTTCAGTCTGTGCTCATACAATGACAAAATGACCACTTCAGCTCTGATATGTACATCAAAGACTTGAATAGTTCTGCAACTGTGGTGTTGTTTGGCAGCAAGAGCACACATAACATGTCCTCATGCATATCCTCCTGAAAATATATTGCACAAAAACAAACATTTTTTTTCAGCTCAGAAAGGCCAATTGTTTTAATAGATCAGTTTTGGACATAATAACTCACATCAATTTTAAATACTATCACATAAAGCATGGTGGAGAGAAGAAATTTTGCTTCATAATTAGAAAAACTCACAATAAAAGTTGCCAAGAAAAACAAAACAAAAAAAGCCATTTTGAAAATAAATACAGTCCATGCCAAAGTAGTATAAAATGAAGCTCAAAGTTTTCAAAAAGAAAAGTTTTCATCCCAATGTTTCCTCGATTTTTAATAATTTTCTAAAATTGGGAAGAATCTCCAATTCAAGTATTGCTGAGTTGTTCTGATTTAGCTCTTTGGAGATCTGTTTTTTCACCACTATTGTCCTTTGATTTATCTTCTTCCTTTACCTCTGCCTTTTTGTCTTCCCTTTCCTTCTTGTCTTCCTCAATTCTAACTTTCTTTGTTCCTTGTTATGATCAGCCACATTTCTACGACTTCCTTCCTCTTCATCCTCAGAATCTGAGAATTCTTCATCACGAGCTATCTGCTGTCTGATGCCCGAATAGAAATCCTCCTGTCTGCGTCTTCTCCATCTTCATCACTGTTGTCCTCACGGACAGCATCTTCCGGGATAGCTTGCATCTGGACACCAGGTGCATGAGGTAACATGCACAAATTTTAAAATAAATGCTGCTTTATCTTTTCCATCTATTCTGGAATGTTCTGATTTGGCATGTTTGAAGGACTAATATGCAGTTTGAAGTCTGGTCCAAAATATTCAAAATAATCATTATATCGCAACTTGTTAGGGATCTCACAATCCAGAGCCTCCGCAGTCTCATATGTCCAACAGTGAGCAACATTATAGATTGTATATCCACCACCCCCAAGCATGAGTAACAGCAAGTTAAAAGTTTTTACAACTTCTACACACTTAGCATGACCTTTGACTGTGAGATTGAAGCAACCAAGCCTATCACCAGATAAAGAGTCTGCACCAAACTGTAAAACCACCACCCTGGGCTGATACATCTCCATCACTTTGAGATAATAGTTTTAAATGTCTACCCATAAAACTCATCATCTGTTCCATCTCTCATTGGAAAATTGGCAGCATAGTATTTGCCTTTCCCAGCACCGATGTCCCTCAAGTCTCCTGTGCTAGGAAAGTACTCCCCATATTTACGGAATGAAACTGTCATTATGCAATCTGTTGTATAAAAAGCTTCTTCAACACCATCACCATGATGGCTATCTGTATAAATATACAAGACTCTCTGATGATACTTTAGCAATTCAAGGATGGCAAGCACAATATCATTAACATAACAGAATCCCGATGCTTCAGATTTTTTTGCATGATGTAATCCCCCATCCCAGTTAACAGCCATGTCAGTTTTTGCCGGTTTAACTTCACAGTCTCAGCAAATGAGCCACCAGTGGAGAGCTGACAAAATTCAGGGTCCATCGAACACTGGACAGTCTTCCCCAGTATTAAATCTCTGTATCTACTTACTGTACTCAGACATGGTATCTGGTCGGATGGACTGTAGAAATTTGATATACTCATCACTATGATACTTCATTTCTTCATCAGTGGCTTTGTGAGGCCTATATATTTCCATTTTTCTGTATAAGCCATAATTTAACAGCAAGTTATGAGTCATGCGGATTCTATGAGGTTTCATGGGATGACCTTGTCCATAGTACTAATTTCCAATATCACCATCATAGTAGTACCAGTCTTTCTTGTTGCGTCTCCCTGACTGTGCGCCGTGGGCCAGCCACAGCTTCCCGGTTCAGAGCAGGAGAGGCTGAGAGCTGGTTGGGGGTATGGCCCCCTGGCTGGAGAGAGTGCCAATGCGAAGGCGGCGCCCCAAACAAACATTTTTGCCTTGCTGTCAGCAGGGCTAGACTCATCAACCTAGATTGTGTACCACAGTGACTCATCAGTCCTCTCTAAAAATTATGCTTCTATACATTCTATTTCATCAATTTGTCTATTTATGGTCCTGGTCCAAAGAGAGAAAACTTGCCATCTTTTGAACTGTAGCCTCTCCTAAAAGTCCATGCTGAATGTCCTTAGCAGCAGGTAAGATCAACTCTTCACAAACAGTAAAGGTCTTTTTAGCTCTAGCAATGTGGTTATCCACTAAGGATGCTACGAGTGTAGAAACATTTGATAAAGTGGTAGCCTCAACAATTGTTTCTGCTCTTAATGTTTGTTTGTTTTTTTTCTTTTGAACAACTTCCAAGGCTTGCCTCTTAACGCAGAATGTTTGATCTCCATGTGGTAAAGCAGTTTTGAAGTTTCCATGGCTTCACTGGATAGTCACCACATATTACATGAAGTGGTTTTGCAGAATGTAAGTGGCTTGTTGCAATGAACCCACAGTTTAAGTAAGTCTCTTGGTATTTTCTTTTAAATGGACTTTCATTTTGTTGTCAGCCTTTGAATCTTCTGCTGTCTCATCATTGGCTTCTCCCCGCTTTCAAAGAAACTCTGCAATGATGCTTACTTTTTACTCATTTTGGCTAAGGCTAGCTATTGTGCTCACCAAAACTGCGAGAAAAGAGGCGTGGCTGGAAGTGATAAGTAAAATAATGGACAAATCATATGTGTACTAAAATAAGTGACAGATTCTGAATCAAAGCCTGCCACCAGATGCAGCTACACATTTGAAATTCCTCAACTCACCGGCTACTATGCTGCCAGTGTAGCTTGTCACTTGCCACTCACTGAGAAAGTTTTAATACACGTCTGCAAGAAATTAATATATTAGTCTTTGTGTATTTGCAGCTGTTCCCCATGCTAGCATCATCACCTCAATTCCACCTAAGATCATCAGGCATTAGATTCTCATAAGGAGGGTGTACCCTAGATCCCTTGAATGCAGTTTACCATAGGGCTCGTGCTCCTATGGCAATATAATGCCCCACTCATTTGACAGGAGGCAGAGCAATTCAAGTGATTGGAGTGGTTGTAAATACAGATGATGATTTACTTGCTTGCCTCCTGCTGTACAACCTGGTTTCTAAGAGGCCATTGATTGGTATTGGTTCAGGGCCCAGGCAATAGGGACCCTTGCCACAGAAAACTTTAAAAGTTCTTCCAAATTAGGCTTGGTGGTGCATGCCTGTAATCTCAACACTCTTGGAGGTGTGGCATGAGGATTTCAAGTTCTACCCCAATGTGGGCAATTTAGTAACTTAGCAAAACCTTTACAATTTTTGAATTGAAAAGGGGTGGGGATTTAGGTCAGTGCAAATCCCCTGTGTTGTCGGTGCAACGTCAACAAAATCAACAATGACAAAATCCTTTGGGTGAGTCCTCAGATGGGAATGATGGACATGCTATTGGACTCAAGAGCAAAGAGGTTCTTTGTTATAAAGTAACAAAGAACAAAAAGCAACAACAACAACAAAAAAAAAAAAAAGAAAGAAAGAAAAGGGCCAGGGATTTAGCTCAGTGGTTCGGTGGCCTGCCTTGCAAGTGCAAGGACCCGAGTTTCATCCCCGGTACCAAAAAAAAAAAATAAATAAATAAATAAATAAAGTAACAAAGAAGTTGACTGAATTATGTTCTAGGATTTGTACATAGGAGAAAGTATAAAACATCAACCTTGGATATTAAGCTGAGTATTTTTCTAAGTAAAGTGTTCAAAGTGTGGCCTTGCTTCTTTCTGCTTATTGCAAAATATGAGAGGGCAGAGATGAATGAAGATATTTTTAAACAAACGAGAACGAGAACCTAAAGATTTAGAAAGTTCTCAACATGCACATATTGCAAATATTCAGAAAGTGGATTCTGGGGAGAATTCCAAGTTTAGCTGGAGAACTTCTTTATAAAGTGATGCTGGGTGTGATTCATGGACCCAGGCAGCCATCTCAACAGAAGCCAAGAATAGAGATGGGATTTTACAAGCAGAGGCTTATTGTCCTTAACTAGAAGAAAGAGATGGTACAGAATGAAGGAGGCCTGTTGGATTTCTGGGATTTTACAGGAGAGGAAAATGGAGCTATCTGGCTGTGAGACCATGTGATCCTTAAAGGGAAAGAGAGGAAGCATTACCTTAAAGATGATTCTGTCTCCTTAGTTGCAGAGTATGGTGAAACTTAGTTTCAGTAGACTAGGCTGCCACAACCTGGAGTCTGGGGAGTAGGATTGACATTTGGTGTGGACAGAAAAGTCGCCCCACATTTTTGTGAGCTGGGAAGGCAGAGTCTCCATCCTAGTGATCCCAGAGGACAAAGCATCAAATTAAAGATTTTCCTTGAGCCTTAAAATCTAAGAATCTGCCCTTCTATAATTTTATTTGTTTGAGAATTGTGATCTTCTTCTCCATGATTTATCCCTTTTTAGAATAAGAATATGTATCCAATGCCTGTCCCACATAGTATTTTGGAAATAAATAATTTTCCTGTTTTCACAGTTCATAACTAGAGAGGAATTTTGCCACAGAATGACAATGTCCTCAAATAACACCCTACTTGAGTTATATATCATACCTACATGTGATTTGGGACTTAGATTTGGTGCCGAAATGGTTAAGATTTGGGTGCTGCTGAATTTAGGGATAATGTACTTTGCATGTGAGAATAATATGAATTTTTGGAGACAAGTAAGTGAAATATAATAGGCACATTTTCCTCCCCTCAAAATCAGTATTTTAAAGTATCAACCCTAATACCCTATAATTTGACTGTAGCTAGATGGGGGGGTGTTAAAGTGATTATAGTTTTTTTTCAGCTTTAATTGAGTTTATTGGTACATTTTAGGGATACAGTACAGTTACATTCATTGTTGGGATCTTGTACCTCTACATGACAAGTCTTGATTCTCATTTTTTCCCCTTACCCCTGCCCTCCCTTCACCCCCTCCTCCCTCCCATCTACACTTTATTTTCATCTTTTCATTATCTCACATTTTTTTCTTTTCCCTTATTACCCTTCCCCTACCCATCCCACCTTCCCTACACCTTTAGCTCCTTTCTTCCCATTTCTAAATGTCAGTAATCTTATTAGGATCTTATGTATTATTGCAGATTATTCATACCAGGGAAACTATTCGGTATTTACACGTGTGTGACTTATTTATTTCACTTAGGAGTATATCTTCAATATGTATCCATTTTCCTATGAATGAATCTATTTTCTCATTCTTTATAAAGTGATTATAGTTTAAATGAGCCTGTTAGGATAGACCTGAATCCAGTCTGACTATAGTCCTTATAAGAAGCGGAGATTTTACTAGGGTATGCTGACACACATCTGTAATCCCAGTATTCTGGGAGGCAGAGGCAAGAGGATCACAAGTTCAAGTCCACTCTGACCAATTTAGACCTTATCTCAAAACAAAACCTAAGAAAAATAAATGGGTACGTAGCTCAGTGCCAATGGCCTGGGTTCGATCTAATATATGGAGGGGAGAGAGGGGGTGAGAGAGACCCACATGCAGGCAGAGACAGAGAGACAGACAGACGTTTCAGAGAACATCAACCATGGCAGCACCTTGAAATTGAACTTCTAACTCTCAGATCTATGAAGAAAGATATTTTCAGAGATCACAAACTGGATATAGTCCATTGCAGGTATAAGCATATGGGCCAGTTCAGTGATCTACAAATATGAAATAGATGTTGGCTGGATACTTACTCTTTAGGTTGGCCACAGTATACAACTTTCCTTACTGCCCTGCACTGGACTGCTTCCTCCTTGAGTCAAAGATTCAGGCCTGGACCACAGATACACTTGAGTTGGCTCTCCTGCACATGCATTATATAAACCAAGAACAAAATAGACTGGTCAGACTGAGCCCTTTCTTCCTGTTTAGAGATAGCCATTTAATGGAATTATATGACCTTGATCAGGAGCGCCTGCTTGAAAACATCAAGAAACTGAAGCAACACAGTAGATATAAATTAGGGACTATCAAATCAAAGCAAGTAACCAAAGAGCACTGGGCCACATGCACAACTTTTTGGTGACCCAAAATGTAGACCTGGGCTTCAAAGAGTATCCAGGGGACTTCTAGATTACAGTAGAAGGGGAGAGAGGCTAAGTTTAGAATTGGCAACTATTTTAATATCACAATGTTTAGAGGACTATTAAAGGGATTTTCATTCACTATTTTTTCCTGAAAATAAAAACTTTAGTAACCCTTTAAATTTAGAATAATAATGTAGATATTTCACAGAAATTGCAAAATGTAGTAAGTAGATACTTTAGGAAGGAATTTAGTAGGACTTTAGAATTCACATTTATGAGTTGAGGGCATAGTTCTATGGTGGGATATGTGGCCAGCCTGTGTGAGGCTCAGAGTTCAACCTCCAGCATAAAAAAAACAAAAAACAAAAAACATAAAAGTAGACACCAAACCAAAAACCTCTCAGGTTTTTAACACATCTTCCATACTCCTAACTCTCTTTTACTCTCTCCTTTTACTCCTCTAATGTCCTCTTCCTTCCTGACACAGCTTTTCAACTTCTGATATTTTCCCTAACATTGGGCCAGGTTTTAAGAGTACAGAAATGAACTTGATATAGGCATATACTCCCAAGTGACCACATTTTGGCTTTGAGGCAGTTTGTACCCTTTTTACTTACAAAGAAATGGTAATAGCATGTTAGATCCAAGCTATGAAAGAGAGTAGAATGACCTGAACGGTCATGTTCTTTAAGAAAGGTTAGAAGACATCATCTAACATAGCAGATCTAGATGCCAGTGTGGCTGGCCAATGGGTGCAAGAGACTGCCTTGGTGAACTCCGTGAGAGCCAGAAAGAAGCACTCACAGGAGCTGAGAACTTCTCGCCTATGCACAGAAATACCAGCATGTCTGTCTCCAGGAAACAAAAGAACACTTTGGTTCCAATACTGAGCCAAGCACATTTACTCATAGTGGGAGTTCTAATGAGGACCCTGGCTCTGGTCATCACTCAGGGGCAGCTTTTAAGAGAAGCTCCCAGTAGTAAACAATACTGATGAAAAGTATGACTTTATTTCTCCCTTCCAGTTATTTGGATGGAGGAGATTTAAAACCATGCCCAAACAATGAAATAAAGCTAGGCACTAACAATTCCAGGTGTTTGATTTTTCTTACTGGAAAACCATCAGTGTAACAGGGAACTTACCAAGGACTTCATTACTATGAAAATGCTTTCCTGGTTTACTGCTCTTAAAGGAACTTTGCCGTAAGTGTAACAAGGGTACATGGCTCTGGAGGCAGATAGGGCTCAGTCTAGCTCCACCTCCTACTATTATTTGACAGGGCTGGGAAGGTTACTTTTTTCTGTAAATGGTAGTGTCCAATTTTGGAAAAGGCATCATGATTTCTACTTTCTAGTGTTGCTGAATGATTAAGTTCTACATCATATAAAAAGGTACTTGTAGCACAATATGTGAACTACAGTTGAAAATTTCCTCTTTGACCCTAGTATTTAACAATTATGTTGGTTTAATAAAAAATAAGATAGGGGACTGATGCCTGATGGCATCTTAAGGGAAAAGGCACATTTTAGTCAGCTTTCTGCATCATAACAAACACGTGCTATAAATCAGTTTATAGAAAGAGCTTATTTTGGCTCATGGTTTCAGTCCATGGTCAGTGGGCCCTGTTGCTTTGGAGTCTGTGTCGAGGCAAAAGTACATCAGGGTGCAGAGCATAGTGGTGGAGGAAGCTGTTCATATTAAGGTGCCAGGAAGCAAGGAGAGAGGAGCTGGGTCCCAGTATCCCTTGGAAGGCCATGCCCCAGTGACCCAACTTCCGCCAAGTAGCCCCATCTCTTAAGGCTTCTGTCACTTTCCAGTAATACCACATGCTGGCACTCAACCCTTTAACACATAGGCTAGCAGGGGACAATTATCCAAACCACAGCAAAATATAGCAAGTAGAACTGACCTATTCAGATCTAGTGGAAGAAAGAATTAAGAGACTTTATTTAGTAAGACTAGTTTTGAAATGCCATATTATGGAGTGCACAAATTATTACCACCATTCTAACAATTAAAATCTTAGAAATGTTACTGAGTAAAACTTCACCTCCAAACTTCTCATGCCTTACCCAATCCTGTCATTTTTCAATCCTGCAAATTCTCCTTCATCACATTGTCCAGGAAATAAAAAATTGCCCTTTATCCTTTTAAATTCAATCCCAATGGGCCTAAGGATTAAGCTGATGAAAGAAAGACAAATTAAGAGGAAAAGTGCTTATCGATATGATAGGGGACCTAATGAAAGGAGCAGGCAGCTCACTAAATGGTCAAAATTAGTAGAAAAGGAGATGAGTGCAAAGGTTACTATGCAAAGAACAACTTATTTTCTTTAGGAAAGAAACAACACAGAGTGCAGGGAGAACAAAGAGAAGATAAGAAAGGCTCTGACAATGTGTGTTTATGCTGTTGCAAGTGGTCTTTGACACACACACACACACACACACACACACACACACAGGTTGGAAGGTAACTAGGATGCCCTTTACCAGTCTTGTCCAGACAAGTATAATTCATCTTTAGTAGTGTACTGTCTCTTGAGCTTATGACCTGGGTCACCTAGATGGGCCAACTTTTCTTGCAATTCACCTAGAAAAAGACTCCAGAAATCTGACCCTTGTTAATTCTTCTAGCAATATATTGTGCTAGGTAATATATTGTGCTAGACTCTCACTGGATGCTTTATTTTTAAAAACAAATTTTTAAATTTTAAAAAAAATTTAAAAAAATTTTAAAAACTGAAACAGCCATATGTCAGCTTCCTTTACCTATCATTTTATACCTATCTGGTATAAAAGGAATCTAATCTCTTACCATCCACTCCTATTACAAGTCACTTCATTTTCTATGGGGAGTCTAGAAGGAGAGATAGTCAGTTAAACAGCTATGATCAGAGGGCTTATGCAGAGACCAGGAGGCGTACAGATGACCTTGCATCAATTATATTGATCTTATTGCTCTTCCAGGTTCTTCCCTTTGGTTGACCCTTTCCAATCTCACCCAAAGTCTATTTTCTACACAACACTCAGGGGAATCCTTTGATTCTTTGAAAACTTAACCCAGCTCTGGTTACTTTGCAGCTCAAAGCCCTCAAATCACCTTCCAGTTCTCTCAGAACTAAATTAAAAAACCCTTACAATGGACTTCAGAACCAGGCCCCCATTTCATTTTGACTCCAGGTCCCACCATGCTATGGAATCACAGTGATCCAGTTCCATGGATCCTGGCTGGGAAGTCCCAGAGGCCTGGAGTCCCTGCTGGAGACTTTAATTACTGTTGGAGTGAGGCTTCCTTTCCTGCCTGGGTCTCTGCTCCTTGTAATCTGCCAGAGACCTGGCCTGACCCTTGTTTCTGGAAACATTCAGCCCTGTGTCCCAAATGCCTTCATTGGTTTATTTTTCTTCCTGGCACTTACCACCATCTGATACACACATTTATTCACTTCTATTATTTGTCACCTCACTGGACTGAAGTCCACTTGATGCAGCCACTTTGTGCTTTTTGCCACTACTTTCTACTTGGTTTATTCCTGCATCTTCAATGCCAAGCATGGGATCTGGTCCAAAGTAGACATGGATGAATCTCTGCTGAATTGATGGAACACCAGTCCGCCTTTCCTGTGGATGCATTGGGGTCTTCTAGGATCTTATCTTTTACTTACTTGCTTTAGCAATGTAAAAGTATCAGGTTCTTTCTTTCCCTTCTACTGGAAATTGAACCCAGAGCTTTGGCACTTAACTATATTCTCAGTTCTTTTCTTATTCTGAGAGAAGGTCTTGATAATTGTCCAGATTGGGCTCAAACATGTAACCCTCCTGCCTCAGCCTCTTGGAATGCAAATTACAAGAAGTTCAGCTCGCCAAAACTATCTTCTCAGGTGGAGGGCGAGAGGCAGAAAAGGTTTAGTTAGGTCAGGCATTAATATGTTAATGAAATTTAATAAAAATGTAACACACATTTAAATACAGAATGAAGACAAATCAAAGTTCCATCTTAATCCATTAATGAGAGAACAGGAGAGTAACACAGATGCTTCAAAAAAGAAGGCTATAGACTCAATGAGAAGAGGAAAAGAGGAAACACCTAGCATGAGGTAGACAAATAAGACAGAAAACTAAGTATATTTCTAACCCTAACAATAGTCTTTTGAATTAACACAGGACAAGATCTTTTTTATCATCACAAGAAAAAAAATCTGGGATTCTATCATGTAATACGCTTTTGGCTTACAAATTAACTTCTCCCATTTAAAAAATTTTTTTTTCTTTGCTGGGGATTGAAGCCAGGGCATTTTTTTATTGTTTGAGACAGAGACAGGGCCTAGCTAAGTTATTAAATTTCCCAGCCTCGGCTTGAATTTGTGATGCTCCTGCCTCCTTCCAGAGTGCTGGGATTACAATGTGTGCCACCACACCTGGCTTTCTGGTCTCTCTCTTTTTAAAAAAATTTTTTATGTAGTGCGTAGGATTCACCACAGAGGGTGTGACTTGCTAAACTGGTTCTGCACCACTGAGTTACACCTTTAACTAAGTTCAGTGCTAGAAGAGTTGTAAAGAAGGCTGTTGAGTGGAATGGAGGCTACTGTTTGCCTTAATTCCAACATCTATATTCACCAAGATGCATGCACCAAAGGCCAGAAAAGCACTGGGAACTTGACTCAGGTGGGGTCTGTTTACGCGAACCACACTGCACCTCAAGTGAAGGGCAGTGGTGTCTTGTGCTTCCCTGACTTGTTTCTAGACCCAGTGCCCTGATCACAACGCCCAAGGGCTGATCTCTTCTTCCGGACACCTGTGTCAAGTGTGCAAGAGAGAGCTCTACCTCTGGATGCCAGTGTGGTTCCTCTCCACCTGCCCACCAGTGACCTCTGCAGCCTCTAGTCATCTTACAACTTTAACATGTGCTTGCTGAATTCATGAATGAGGCAGCATCTGGGCCAAGCACTGTGAAAAGAAAACAGTCACTAGAAACTGATTCCTGGAACGGAAACTAAGCAGAGGTTTTGGGCCAGAGGGTGGTGTCCAGGTGGGGTCCTGGGGGTGAGTCCTGGTGGTCCAGGTGAGAGAGGGTCATGGAGGCCTCGGGTTTTGCAACACCATTCCTGGCCTGCTGATTGTTCTCACCTTCCAGCAAGGTGCCTGGGAGCAGGAAGGATGGAGCGGAGGAAGAAGTAGGCCTGGGAGCTAGACCACTTGCATCAAGCAGGGCCTTGTCGGCACCGGGGGCGGTGGCTCCTTGAAGAACGCCCCGGTGTCCCCAAGAGAGAAGATCGCGGATGCAAGACCGCGGCCCTGCCCCTAGCATAAGGCCGTCCTGCCCACGCTCGTCCCCACGCCCCAGGCCGCGGGTGCCCAGCCAACCTGATCCCGGGAGCGCGCCCAGCCGGCCTA